TTCTTTTTTTTTTTTTTTTATTTTAAAATTATATCAAGGTAAAAGAATATCAAGAAGAAACTTGATAATGAGGTTAAATTCTTTTCGGTTATCTGTCGTTTGACTGTCTCTTCTATTTCTGATAAAGATCATATATCTTCGTGATTATACACCGACTAAAAATGATGTTTCATCGTAAAATGAATAGAAAATTAACAAGAAAATTATATACCTAATTATAAGAAAATTATTCTCATCAAATTAATAATAATCTTCTATTTTAGATGAATTTTCAAGTATATTTAAACATTGAAGATACTATTAATTATATTTAATTTTATCTCGTAGCACGTTTCGAGTTAATTTAGTGATCTAATTAACACGTATCTAATCAACCCTCTATTATTTTGAATATTGACGATAAACTTGCCACTATTTTCAATGTGTTTTCAGTCATTTTACCCTGTTATTATGTAATATGCCGATCTTTTGTAATACCTACATTCTCTTCCTTGAAATAATAAATGAAAATTATAATAGGAAGCTAAAAGTACGTATCAGCTAATTTTAATTATCAATATTCACAATAATATTTCGCAAAGAATTAATTTTGCTTAAGTCTATAAAAAAATCATAAGTATCGATTCTGATTAATTTATTTATTTTAAAGATAAAAATAAACATTTTTTCATTTTTATTCGTCTTCTTTTTTTTCAATTTTGCGATCATTGGTTTCTATAAACTTTAAATCGCAGAAAAAACAAATTATAACAATTTGTCGGATATCGTTTAGTTAGGTTAGTATCAATAATGGGCGAGATTTTATAGAATATAAAATTTATATTCTTTAATAATATACGATTTTAACAGAAGATATTATACGCGAATATAAACGGTAAAATAATTTATAGAAGAGATACACATACCGTGATATCATTTGTTGCGTAATTAATCGCCCGATGAGAAATTCCCTTTCGCGATGTTTGAAAACAAATATTGGATTAAAAGTACGAGATCGAGGCAAGATTAAAATTTCGAGAATAATAATTTTCTAGATAGATTAATGAAACAAATATCAAAGTTTTTTTTTTTATTTCTTATATTCTTCTATAATATATGATGACTTTTTGAAAGATATGTGATGTTCATTCACTTTTCTTTTTTCCATTCGAGAATAATTCCGAGAAATAAATAGAAAATTAATTTTATTTTAGTATAAATAAATTTATTTTTTAGTGAATAGTTTTTTTTTATTTATCATGTAGAATATAGATAGATCTATTTCTATCCTGTATTAATTTTATGCCAGAGTACAGATATAGCGTAAAGATATTTAACTTGTAACAACATATAACAAGTAAACTAATTTTTAAAAAAACGGTCATGATTGACATAGTAATGCAACTTATCAGTAAAAATAAAATAGGGGAAACCTTGCTAAAAGTGGGTATATGGGTAAAACTGGGATCTACTATTATTTTTAAAACGGTTCAATATTTTCTATTATCGTTTCAGCCATGTATCGTTCTCAGTATATCAACAAAAACCTGTTAGATTATCAAAATGGTATTAACAATCTTTTTCCAAACTTCAATAAATTCGTTTCTGAAACATAATTCAATTTATTTCGAATTAAATATATTATTTTTTTTTTTTAAATATATTCGCGCAATATTTTTTAATTCATTTACCCATACGCTTCGGAAACTTTCGGCTTTCACGACACACTTTCCTCCTATAAAAATGTCCATAAGCCGATACTAAACTTCTTAGTCACGCCCTTCTATATTCCCCATCGATACGAGTACATTGTATCACCGTTCTCCCCGTTTTTTTTTTTTTTTTTTTTTCCATTGTACACAATAGATCGCGTAGATCCAGAAAAGGTTAATGTATTCCAAATTATTTTCGACGCGTCCTAATACCGCAGTGCTCCTCTCTTTCGCTCCTTTACATCTGCCTTTCGTTCCTTCTCTCTTCTTCCGGGTGAATTTTACGTTAAACGAGATTCCCCTGGGACTACTTGCAGCCCAACAAAGAGATGTAAATTACGATCTCTGCTCGCTGTATTTTTTTTCTCCTTTCTCTCCTCTCTCCTCTCTTTCTCTCTCTCTATCTTTATCTCTTTTGTGTTTGCACTGGTTGAGAAATATGTGTGTCAACAGGAACTTTTTCACAGAATGCATAGTGCACTTGCACTTTTGTGCACGCGCTCGTGATCCTTGACCCAATTGACATTGTTCTGTCACGTGCTGCGGCATTTCGTTCGAATTCGTGTCTGACAGCGATCCTCTTGATTGCATTTCAATTTGAAATTCGCGGAAATTCCCGCCAATATTTGACCAATGTGAACAACGATATGGCAATAATATAAGCGGTTTGTTTGCATTGGAAATGAGAAAATTTTGAAATTTTCATTCGTGGAAATATATTTTTCCCGTTTGTTTTATATTTCGAATC